CACACTTTATATATTAATCCAGAAGATCACTCAAATTAGTGCGGGCTAAAGAAAAATGAGATGTTACTATTTGGTCGGTGCTATTACACTAAGAAATTTTACATACATATATATCTCGCTAGCTATAGATGCATCGTATGTGATCAGTGGTGAAGCTACATAGTGTCCAATGTTGTCGCATGACACTATTGAATTGTGTACATTATATAAAGTTCTATTTACCTTTATCTATATTTACTATCTAGGACTACACTAGAATTAGGATACCATTAAAAAGGATAAGACCGTAAAATTTTCGACGTATATGATCTATATTGATTCCCCTCTATAATTTATCCAATAACACAGTACATTTTTCTTCAACCTTTATGAGGATCCCGTTTACTAACTGATCTTTTTTAAATTCACCTTTCTTTTGTTTAAAGAAGAGATTACGTACTGAACAAGCTCATAATGTTCTCTGCCCATCGTCTACTGATGACACATTAATGCAAAAAAAGAATATTGTATTATTAGGCATTATAAGGTGGAGCGTGTTATTATCGTCCTATGCTAAAATTGGAATGTTGGTTTCCTTGGTGTAAGATTCCAGCAATAAGCAAGCTTTGTCCTTCAACCCTACCTCACTCCTCAGCTAGCTAGTTTTGGTTAAATAGTAGGTTTAGGTAATGATTAAACCTTTCTAACTTTGTTTTAAAGGCATAGTCATGAGCCTCCTGACCTTAATACGAATCTTTGCGTTTGGTTTGTTATCATGCGTCTTTTCGGCTGAGGGACAGCTTAATTATATCATCATTAGCTTAATAAAGGCCACTTACCTACTAAATAAATAAATATTTCGGTCTGACATTTAATTTGGACCGGCACGTGAAGGTTCGTGAGGAGGTGATGTACGTAAGAAGAAAAGAATTTACTGATTTTGCAGTACGGTATCCTTTTGGCAATTGTAACTTGTAAGGTTGTTAATAAGGGCAGGCTTTAATCATTAGAAAAAGAGGGGGAAAAAAGAAAAAGAAAAAGAAAAAGAAATAAAGACAAAACTCTTAGGATTCCTCTAAATCCGAATTTGTGTAACAGTGTTAAGCAAACTAACCCTCGGGTGTGAATGCAAGGGATATTTGGGTGTCCGGAAATATAGCTGCAAAAATAAGTATTGTACTTATTAAGGGTTTGGGTAGCTTTTTTTTAAGAGAGGAGGGGAGGAGTTGGCGATGTTACAATGCTAACCATCCTAAAATTGAGTTTGTTTATATTTTTTTAGTAAGTGAGGGGGGAGGATTGGGAGGGTTAAAAAAAAGTAAATTTTCTCACTTGTTTAACCCTCCTAAAGTGGACTGATTGGTAGGGGAGCGGTTGAATTTTAAGTGAATTACTTCTTTGTCTTTTTATTTTCTACTCTAAACAAATATAATTAGTTTCATTACTCTCCCTCCCTCTCTATCCCCTAATTGCCTATCCAAACACAATTAGTTACATCACACTCTCTTTCCCCTCCCCTTGGGTTTAGTTGGTTATACCCCTCCCCTACCTGAGTCTTACAATATGGAAGATAAATTACCCATTTGCCCCATATTGATACTTCCTAGGACTCGGAACCATTATTCACATGCAGGCGGTTATGAGAGAATTCAACTCGTGTTATTAAGAAAAGCAATTGGATGTAAGATTGTAAGTTGTCTAGACGCATAGTCGATAATTTGGGATTGGTTACGGGTCAACCTCAAAACCAAATATATAAATTTTCCAATATTACAGACTATTTTCTAATTTTCAAAAATGTCGATCACTTATTAATTAATGGACAAATTTTGAAAATCGACTTTTTTTAAAATTTAATAGGCAAAATCGACCGTATAACGATAAAATGAGCAAAATCGACCCTTTTTTGCACGGGACTGCTAGTCCCGTGCAAAAAAGGTCGCTTCCGCAAAAAAAAAATTCTCCGGTCCTCAACCCATCCCCTCATTCCCTCTCTCTCTCTCTCTCCTTCATTAACCCATCCCCTCTCCATCTCTCTCTCTCCCTCTCCTCCAATCCCACACCAAAAAAAAGACGATCCTGCTAAAAAAATCAAAATCAACCCTCCTCCCCCAAATCCCCCCAACACTCTCCTCCCAAATCCCCCTGCACTGCTGCACCACCAGCACCGACACCTTCACTGGACAGCGGGGGAGGGCTTGGGTGGTGGCGCGGCTCGACGTGGCGGCGGGTGGTAGCATGGTCGGGGCTGAGGGGAACGGAGGACAGCGGCGGCGGCGAGCTGGCGGAGGAGGTGGAGTTGAGCTCACGGCGGCGTCGGGGCTGATGGTGGTGGAGATGATGAGGAGGCGGTGGAGCAGGGGATTGGAGGGAGAGGGGGGGGGGCTCGGATGAGGGGATGGGTTGAGGACCGGAGAATTTTTTTTGCGGAAGCGACCTTTTTTGCACGGGACTAGCAGTCCCGTGCAAAAAAGGGTTGATTTTGCTCATTTTATTATTACACGGTCGATTTTGCCTATTAAATTTTTAAAAAAGTCTATTTTCAAAATTTGTCCTTAATTAATTGATACCCATACAAATGAAAACCAAGCCATAACTACTAGAAACAATCCACTTGAACTAAGCGTTGTACTAAAGCCGCCAAAACAGTCAAGGGTTTTTACTTGTCCTATTATTCTTTAATTCCCCATAGCCGTTACAGTTGGGCCCAGTTTCATTTTTATATGGGAAGTGCGAGTCAAAAGTGCACCTTTATTTGTGGACCCACAAGTGACACTTGGAGAAATAATAATTCAATAAATGAATTATCAGGGGGAAAAAAAGTATAAGATGAGCTGTTACTGGGACCTAATACGTGCATTTTTATACTAAATTCAATGTCATCTTAGAAAATGCAAAGGTTGTGGGTTCTTTTTTTAACGGCAGAAGACAAATTGCTTTCTTATTGCTGAGGAGTCATCTTCATCGTAATAACGTGTTACTAGACCGACACAAGAAGAATATATATTATATTATAATGCAGTTGAAAAACACAAGTGAGGCATGTCAATTATTTTGTTCAAATTTTGTTGGTGACAAGAGGTATTTATACGAAGTTAAACTTTGAGAACATACGTACTAGGGCATACAGGTTGGCGATGTTTTGTAACTGAGATTTTGCAATTGTACGTGTTTATTTAATGGATTCTCTATGGAAGAGAGCTTCCTTGCAGGTAGTATTTGTTCATCTGGATGCACCAAAACTTTGAAATATATTTTGCTCTCTATAAGCATTGGACCAAAGATGCTGTTTCTATTTTGAAGAGAAAGTATGATTCCTCAATTATTTAAGTAAGTGCTAATTGTAAGTAGACTCCTTGCAATATCGGCCAGTTGCGAATAGACCTCATTAAGTTCTAAATAGACTTCATGTAGTATCCTCAACTATTTTCTCATGTATGAATAGATCTGCTTGGTTAAACCTTTTTTCTTAAAATTTCTTTTAAGAGTAAAAAAAAAAGAGCACCTAGAGGTCTATTTGCACCAATAGAGCTACAAGATTCTATCCGTTTCTACAATTTTTTTTGACTTTCTTAAGATTGAAAAAAGATTCCCTTAGGGGGTCTATCTGCACAATTAGAACTACAGAGAGACTATCCGCAACTTGGCAATACTAAAGAGGGTCTATCTGCAATTATCCCTTCAATAAAATCCTTGTAGTTGATAATGAAGCCTACTCAAATGTGAAAGGACTAACTGTGAGAAGTTATAAAGCAACTAATTAATTAAAAAAGGTCCCAAAAGCAAATCAACACAAATGCCTATGCTGTAAAATAAACCAATGTTCTAAAATAAGGGATCCTGCTCACTGGGCTTGGGGAAGCAGAATGCATGTGATTGTGGAAGCATGAGTTGAGGGGGACCAAGGGCTCAACACGTGGGAAAAAAAAAAAAACCAAACCTCATCATTTTTAGCCAAAAAACTTTCTTGTTCTTTACGAGTTCGGGCTGAAGCTTTCTCAGTACCGACACTGGCGATGCAAACGGAAAAGCCTTCTGTTTCATTATTTTGTTGCATGTACAAGTTTCGTTTGGTATGCAGAAAATTATAACGAAAATGCAGTTGTAGTTTAACTACAATTATTTGTTTTGCACTAACCATAGTAGCAAAAAAATTCACTTTTTACCGGGGAAAATAAAAACAAGTGACCAAATTGACTGCAAATCTTTTTTCAAACAATGATTCAGTTTAGCAATTGCATTGACAGTGAAGACCAATATCGTAACCAGAGAAACAATTAGAAATTAAGTTATTATTCTTGAATCTTTAATATTTCAAAATTAGTCCCTTAATTCGTTAAAATTTTTAAAAGAACTAATTAAAATTGCCCGTAACAATTACAATGATTTTAGAGACTAATCTTGAAACAACCTATAAGAATTGGGGAACCTAATGGCAATATCATTGATTTAAGGGACTAATTTCAAAATATTCAAGCTTAAGGGACTAATATCTAAAAAAAATGTAATGAAAGCCTCAACGATGACTCCAAATTAGGATCTGGAAATAATAAAAGAAGAAACAAAGAATTGTAGTGTACTTGATCAATGACTACAACCACAGAGCACAGGGAACCGAATCCCACATGCGCAAGGGCCAGAGGCCACGTTGGGTTTTTTTTTTACTCAGCAGGACCGAGTACATCAATCCCTTTTAAAATTCAAAAGACAACAGGTACTCCCGAGCTCATCCAAACGAACCCCTATTCACTTCTCTCCCCTTTCAACGACCCCTTCGCTGCTGTGAGCATCAAGCAACCCACCAGCTGAGATTTTAATATCAATCTCTCTCTCTCACCAGCAGACCCCACCTCTCACCATCTCTCTCCATAATCTAAAGCTTAGCTTCAATTTTGTACTTAAATTATTGCAGAGAAGCTTCTTAAATTTTCAGCTGACCATTATTTTTACCCCCCTAAAGATTAAAAATAAAGGACTCTGGCTCCTGCACTACAGGGAGAGGGAGGGGGGAACGCAGGAAGCGAGTGACCTCAGATCTGCTAGCTTTGTTCTCCTCCTCCTCCCCCATCTCTCTGTTTCTATATGTACCAATCTAAACCAAAGCTTGAAAGATGTTCAGGGCAGCAAGATGGAGGAGCGAGAAGAACAAGATCAAAGCTATGTTCAAATTGCAGTTCAAAGCAACCCAGGTAACCGTTTAACTCTAAGCAGATAGATGAATCTCACAATGCTGACATTTTGGGGAATAAGGAATTTGTTACCTCGTGTTCTTCAGGTGCCTGGAAAAGGATGGGAAGCAGTGATGGTAACTTTGGTCCCCGTGGATATCGGAAAGCCTAGCTTGAGATCAGAGAAGATCGCAGTTGTTAATGGAGAGTGTCGATGGTTGAATCCAATGTATGAAACGGTGAAGCTCACCCAGGATCAGAAAACTGGGAAGATCAGTGATAAAGTTTACCAGTTCATTGTTTCTGCAACTGTACGTGTGAAGGGATCAATGCGCAAAATTTGTGATTTGATCTTGTGTTCTTGTTTCAGAGATTGATGATGATGACCTCGTTCATGTTTCCTGCAGGGACAGGCGAAAACAGGGGTATTAGGAGAAATCAATGTTAATTTGGCAGAGTATGCTGAGGTGTACAAACCTACCTCAGTTTCTCTCCCTCTGCAAGATTCAAATAATGGAGCCATCCTGCATGTGAGCATTCTTTCTTTTTTGAATTTATGGCATTGAAATCCCATGTGTTGTGTGTTAATGTGTTTTCCTAGAAATCACAGTTTTCTCACCTGCTCTCCATCCCTCAATGCATATAGTAAATGCCGATATTATTATCATATTACAACATGATACAACATAATGTTATAAAAGTAATTGCCAGTAATTTCATGTGATCGGTGACTTCGCATGTAATTTTATTAATTCGTTTCCTGATTATTTGATTTCAACTGGCAGGTAACCATACAGAGGGTACAGAATGATGCCCAAGGAAGGTAAAATTTCAATTCTATATCTCAGAAAAAAGAAACAAGCATTGCTACTTATCTTGTAATCTGATTTCTTCTTAGTAGCTTGGTAAGTTCTAATTGACTCTTTCGATCTTCAGAGAAGCTGTAGAAAATGGAGAAACCCCAAAAGAAGGTAATGAAAACAAAGGCAACTTTGCAAAATCACCGAGAATTACACTGAAGAGCCAGTTAAGCAATCCAGAGAATGAAGAAGGTGGCAAAGCTGATACTGGTACAAATGATATAAATGCAGCTGAAGTAAGAACAGTTACCTTTTAGATGACATATCTCATGGAATCTTTGTTTAGCATTTCTACTAGCATATAATCACTTGGCTAAACGGTGTAAATATGATCACACATATACAAAAATCTGATAAATGGATTTATCATTCAAAATAAAAATATGTTACCGAATTTCAATAAAAAAAATAGAACCATCTTTATGATCTACTTACATTAGGGATTAGAGTACTCAAGTGCTGATTTTCTGAAAATTGGACCTTCATATTATACTATCTGCTTCCCGCATTGGATCCTTGTATAAGAGCTACCAATTCTTAATTTGTTCTACATGACAATACAACCTAGTTCTGAAAGGATTCTCCAACATTCTACAAATTAAACTCAAATACTTCATATCATTCCTTTTTCTCTAAATGAAATCCATCAAATTACTAGTTCTCTGGGAGGTTACTGAACATGTATAAGAAACAACAGCTACAAATTTCTGCAGCAGAAACAGGCTCAACATAACATCCAACTAAATTCAATCACATGACTTGCTGGTGTCCTGATGACTTCTTTTTAGGAATAAACCATCTTAGAAAGTCATCTCATCTTATTTTCAATTGAAGCTACTTTAACTTCTTACATCGCCCCATTCTTTATTATCCGTTGCACTCATATTGTGGACATGTTTTTAACTTCTCCACATTTTAATCAACAGTGCTTGCCAGGTTATTAGACAACGTCTTATTAAATTTCTCCTTTAACTTCATAAGTTACCTCTCAAGTTTAACCCACCCGCTTTTGCTTCACTGATTTCCTTGGAAATATTATACTCAAGAACCATAATGACTGGTGATGTGTCCTTAACACTTCTCCAGGTTTTATTATGACAGCTCATCACTCCAACAACCCCTCCCCCATAAAAGAAGAAAACACCCCACACAGACACAGACATCCCTGCAAGAATGTGCACATACGCACACACACACACACAAAATGAATGGTGTCTAAAATGTATATTAACAAACTCATAATTTGCCAATGAGGCGCAATTTGTTAATTGTATTATCCTCTCTTAAATAAACAAGCAATCCTAAGTTTTCTCGTACTGTTGCAACAGAAAACGACAAAAGAAACCGTAAATAGAGCTATTTGTGTATGTTTGCTTGAATGCCAAACTGATAGATCCTACATGTCGCTCATTGTGATAGCGAGGACAATAAACAATTTACAATTAAGGAGTATATGCTTGATTAAGAAAATTCTCCAACCGGGGAGGTTGATAACTCACACGCAATGACTAATTGAAATGTGCATTCAATCATTTGGCAGGAAGGATCCTTTATAAATAGCAAGGCACTGGTTAAGTTCCATTCCAGCAGAAATATGCCTAGCCATGGCGATTCAAGTGGCGACCTTGGAAAATCTAGTAGCTTTGATGGTGTATCAGCATCAGGTTCAGAGAGCAGTTCAGGACAATATACACCAAAAGAGAATGGAATCAAGAAATGCACTGTCCATCAGGAAAATGCGAGCGTGCTATCACCCCTCAGCAACAGTGATACCCCTCAAAATACTGATTGGTCTGTGAGCATAGAACTGGATAGAAGCATTGCTGGATCTACAAATAGTTCAGGAGCTTGAGAAGCAAAAATGTGATTTTGATGATTTGGCAAGGCAATTAGAAGTATCAGAGCTGGAGCTGCAGACACTTAGAAAGCAGGTTATGAAGGAAAGCAGGCGAGGACAAGATCTTTCAAGGGAATTAAGTAGCGTAATGGAGGAGAGAGACACACTTAGAAAAGAATACGACAAACTTAAGGCCTCCAATAAAAGAGCAGACGATGATGAGAATGCTTCAGCTATTTTGCAGTTTGGGACTAAAAACCCATGGTCCATGCTACAAGAAATGAAAGAAGAATTAGATCATGAGAAAAATTTGAACGCTAATCTTAGGTTACAATTGCAGAAGACACAAGAATCAAACTCTGAGTTGATATTTGCTGTCAGAGATCTTGAGGAACTGCTGGACCAAAAAAAGAGCGAAATATGCTATAATCAGGATTCCCAAGGAACAGAATGCCAAAAGCAATTGTCACATTTGAGAAATTCGGAAGATAAGCAAGAATTACTTGAGACAACTTCAGACAATGAGGAAGAACAATGTGAATTGGATATACTAGTTAAGGAACATGATAATATCAAAGTAGCATATTCACAAGAGCAAAGAATTTTAGACCTGACCAGTGAACTAGAATTGTATAAAAAAGATCGTGAGGACCTAGAAATGCAACTGGAACAGCTTGCACTGGATTATGAGATTCTGAAACAAGAAAACCATGATATCTCTTCAAGACTGGAGCAAATCCAGCTACGAGAACAGCTAAGAATGCAGTATGAGTGTTCAGCACATTTATCCATCATCAATGATCTTGAATCCCATGTTGAGAATCTGGAAAAAGAACTTGAGAAACAATCTGAGGAATATGAAGCTAATCTAGCAAATCTGGTAAGGGGCAAAGTTGAGGAAGAGCAAAGGGCCATACAGGCAGAGGAAGAACTGAGAAAGACGAGGTGGAAAAATGCCAACACTGTTGAGCAGCTTCAGGGAGAATTTAAAAGGCTTTCTTCTCAAATATCGACCACATTTTGTGCAAATGAAGATTTGGTAATGAAGACGCTAGATGAATCTAGAGCATTACGTATGGAGAAATGCCATATGGAGGCATTGTTAGAGGAAAAAAATGAGGAACTTTCATCATTGCAGCTCCAACACCGAGTAAACTGTCAACAGCTGCTTAGCCTTGTAGATTTCAAAACAAAAGAAGTAGATAGACTAGTATTAGAACTTAAAGATAAAAGGGAGGAGCTTGATAAGCAAAAGCAATCTGAGGAAGCAACGCAAAAGGCCACCAGAGAAGAAATGTCTATTCTTAAAGCAGAGATGGAACAGCTCTCAAGAGAGAAACATTATCTTTCTGAACAAATAGACCAGAAGGAAAAGCAGGTAGCTGAGGTGACAAAACTAAGGACATCCACTAAAGAAGTTGAACTGCAGTTACAAGAAAGAAACTTGGAGAGGGATGTGCTTGAGAAAGAACTTTCTCTGCTAAGGGAGGAAGCAGCAAACTTATTGGAGGAGTTAAATGCTTTGAGGCATTTGAAGGATGAACAAGAAGTCACAATGAAGGCCTTAAACTTGAAGGTACAAACCCTAATGACACAAAATACTGATTTAAAGATTGGCTTCTCTGATGATGAGTTAGAAAAAGAGAACCTGAGGGAGCTAATCTTTCTACTAAGAGGAGATCTTAGTAAGGAAGTTGACGTAATTGCAACTATAGAGAAAAGGTTCAAGGGAAAAAATGTAAGAGGAATGGTCGCAGAAGGAACCCCAATGATATACAAGAGTAGAGGCTCTTTCCAAGCAGCTCATCGCTCCTTACACGAGAATTCTGAACCTTTTGATGTAAGCTTCTCCTCCTCCCAGATTAGACATGTTCAACTCTTTATTTTTCTTCAGGTTTTAGATACTGGTGCTTTAACAAAGCCATGACTCTGCATGCATATATGTGCAAAGACACAACAAAAGATATGCATCACGCATGCATACACAACATTGAGAGTGCGGAGGGTGTATTATAAGATATTATAATATCATGATCCCGTTTTACATGCTGGAAAGCATATATAAGATATTTTGAATGCTTTTAACCACATATCTATAAGAAATGAATCTCCTATATGCATGCTTTTAACCACATATTTTAACAGCGTATCTACATGCTATGACTGTTCATTTTACACGTTCAGAAGTCATAGCATAGAACCTGTCCAAATATTTCCTTTGCTGATCTCTAAGAATTTCATACACTGGAAAGTAATATTGATGAAGTGAATTTCCGTAGGATGGACCATTGTAGCACAGGGTGGACTCGAGCTTGAATTCATTCAAGGTCTCTATGGGCTGCATAAGAAATGTGCATCCTCCCCCCCCCAACAAAACATGCTTGCACACAAATGCACATAGTACAATCCTAATATCCAACTATGGATTGACAAAACACCCCCACGGCCCCCCCCATACGCCTGCAGAAGACACATGCCACAAACTTACAGAAGAAACATAAACGCAGCACATTCCCATACAGACACCTAACACCCCCGAGCCCCCCCCCCCCAAAAAAAAAAAAAAAAAAAAAAAAAAAAAGGCCTTCGCCTTCAGTTTAATTGTTTGTATCTGGTTGCAAAGTTAATTGCAGGTTATGAAAGAGAACAACTAAACTTGAACAATTCATTGATGTAAAGCGTTAAACACAAAGCAAGAGGTGGGCTATGCAGTAAATTAAATAATATGCTAACGTCATTAAAACAATTTGGGCTAGTGTCTTAACTGGCCTGCATTAGTTACATCTATACTATAAAGGCAAAAATGAAATTGAAGAATGCCTTGATGAGCAATAACAATGACGTGGCTAAACAACAAAACTGATAACTATAGATCCTATGTACTAACATCATTAAATAATTCAAACAATTGCAAGGGCATCAACTGGCGACTGAAAAATTTTGTTTATTTCCTTAAAAGTATTTTAACCTGTGAGTTTGTTTTAACAGTTCTCCTGTGTCATTTATGCGTAATTTTCAAGACAATTTGGATAAAGATGATTACATATAAATGTGATATATGTAGGAGAAGAGGTAGCAGAAAGCACTCTTAAAATTTAATATGGGATAATAGTCAATAAAATTTTGAAAAACTATCAACCACTGAAGATCCGCAATCCTATACATGGATGGAAGAAAGAAGATCCAGAGAAATTCTTATGGAATGTTTTCTTTGTACATCAGTATTTTCTTTCAAGTGAAGGATAGTTTTAGTACAATCTTTCTATTAATATTTTACACAGTTAAAGACCTACCAAACAATTGTCAAACTTGGAAGTACTCAAAAATATTATCTTGAAACGCCACCCATATCTGCTTCAAAGATGTATTGACACGTGCATGTACACACACATTCTTCCAACTCCTGCACATTCTCTATAAGCGGTAGGTTAATTTTCTGAGACAGGCTAGAGATATACAAGAAGAAACAAGATATAATCATGAATTTGGTTAGTACATAACAGAGGTTCTACTTTCTGTCAATCACTTTTGCAATCAACACCACTGGAATTTACGATTTCATTTGTTGCTAAATGTTTAGCCATTTCTAACCTATATAATCCAGGAGGACATTGATACCAAGAGCTTTGGGGATGAAAACAGAAATATTCTAGACATCAATGTGAGTCAATTTCTGGAGAAAATTATACAAGATGAAGATTTCGTGGATCATTCACATGATACCACTGATGAAAGACTCAGAAGGTAATGCGTTATTAACTTTTAACCATCCAAAATCTTAGCTGACATAAGAGAGATGATGTTGGTACTTATTCCAATGTTTTTGGTTATCAAATTAAGTCCCTAGATTGTTTACTATTCTCATTGAATGTCAAAACATCTGCAGAAATCTTGATGCCAATACAAAAGCAGAAGTAGAGACGTTGGCTTCATGCCCCTACGATCAAAATAAACTAGCTGAGGTACTATCCCAAATGGAAGAATTGAAAGAACAAAATGAATCAATGGAGGCAGAACTGAAAGAAATGCAACAAAGATATTCGGAGATGAGCTTAAAGTTTGCAGAAGTGGAAGGTGAAAGACAACAACTTGTAATAAGGATCCGCACTCTTAAAAATGCTATGAAGAACTAGCTTTTTCTATGTCAGCACATCTCAGAAGGGGATTTTGTATAGGCAAGCAATTGGGTGTACCAGACGGCAGACAGGACTTGCACAATTAGTATTAGCTGCCAGAAAAGAAATATGACATATACATCCAAAATCAATTTTTTTACTTTCTTCTTTCATCTGGGTGATATATTTTTCCTTCTGTTAAATGAGTGCATTACGGTCATTTCATTTTGATGAAGTGGATATGAGAAACCTACATTTTCATTTTCAAAAATTTGAGATAAATGTATAGCCATGTTTCTTTTTTACAAGTAAAAACCTGTTTCTCCCAGCCGAATGCCTGGACAATAAGCTTCCATTAGCACCTGATACAAGATTTTGGTATCAAACAATAACAAATGCCCTGTAAGTAAGTTATTTGTCAGAGAAGATTGTGAGGTATGGTGGCCGATGCTTATACATGTCCTCTGGATCAGTTTCTCCAATTGATTTTTTTATTGGTTTTCAGGACTTTTTTTTGGGTTGGGGTGTTTCTTACATTAGGACAACACCAGTAATGTCAGGAAAACAAACCTACATTACATCTCTGCTTCTTTTTCTCAAAATAAAACTTGAGCCAGGGCTGTATCTGTTTCTCCAGACCAGCTTGCTTTGTTTTTCATTCCCAGACCTTCTGAACGAAAGATTCTGCAGTGTTAACGTAAATGAGATTCTCCTCACATTAAAGAAACTATAAAATTTTCAAATAACAGACATCTACCTGTCTTGCTCTCTTGTCAACTGGGGTCCATGTTGGCGGAATAATGGAGTCAGTCTCTTTCTTTTCCTCAGAGAGAGAATTATCCTGTACTCTTCCCCCTTTTCTCCATTTCCTGATGCTTTCTGGTGCTTGGCTACTTCCTTTGTACTTAAAACTCTCAATTATGGATGGGCTCCGTTTCTTATAAGATTTCCCAGTACTTCTAGAGCTTCCTGGACAAGTGAGACAGGTGTTGCAAGTAAGTGTTTGCTGACACACTTCTCTCTTGTCCTTGGCACTTTGAAGAAATTCTGTAGTTCGCTGCAACCCATGCTGCATTCTCGATGACTGAATTGCCTTTGAGTGTGGTTTTCCAACAAAAAGTGGTGATTTTTCTTCACTTAATAATCCAAGAGCATTCCTTTTGCATTTGGGATTCTCTCTTGAATACTCCCGCTGGCGTTTCATAGGAGAGTCGTTTTTGCTAGAGTATGAAAATTTGTGCCTAGTTTTTTTCCCATCTAATATCTGAGCCCTATCCTTTACAGAAATCCAACTATCTCTGTCAGACTCAATCTCTTTAGATGTTGGGAAAGTCCGGCGTAGCACATGGTTAAATGCTAGCCTGCTGTCATGCAGATTCCTCAAGACTTCTGGTTCGCTTGCTGGTTCTGGTTCCCCAAATAAAGTTATACTGCTCAGGATTGAAGGATAATTCTCATCCAGGAAATTGGAGTTGTTATCTATGAATTCACTGCCAAAATTTCCCTTGGGATTCCCGCAACCGACAGTATTATAACTCTCAGGATTACTTACCCTTGAATTGTACGCTTGCTTTTTAGCAAAAACTTCACCAAGCCCATCCAAGTATGTGGAGCTATGATCAATGACCTCAGGAGTGAAATTTTCCTTTTCATGCCTGTAACTAACTGTTCCATCAATATCAGAATTATTTATTCTTGAAGTATCCGTTACTCCCATTTTGGGTAAAACTCCATCGGTTGCAAATAACTGGTTGCTCTTAGTTTTCTTCAAATCCTGTAGATGGAAGAAATCTCTCAATTGATATGGCTGAGATGCTCGCGGCAACTCTTGCATTCTTTCCTTTGTTGGATTTAGTGGCTCAACATGAACGAAGTCATCCACAGGCATATATAGGTTGTTGGAACTCACTACACTTTTCTGCCTTTTTCTCCCTGATTGAAGTTTTGCACTAGTAATATCTGAATCTATGGAGGAACACTCTGTCATTACAGATTTAGACTCCCCCATCTCACCATATCTGCACAGAGCATCAAAAAGATGCATACTTTCACCAGGTACATGATACTTCCCAATAGCCTGAATTCTGCGCTTTTGTGACCATTCCAGAAACTCTATAAGCATGCCTCCAGAGTTAATAATCGCATGTGCTGAGAGTGGATTTATAGAAGGAAACTTTGTAAGAAATGATTCACCAATAGTTTCCGATTCAGGCATTGTTGGAAAAATGCCTCTATCTAACTTGCTGGCATTCCCAATGCAGCCCAGAATTATTTCTTCAGTTGACTCGGGTGTATATGAGCAAAATAGCTGCAAGTTCAAATCAAGGGTAGCTGCTGCAGCATAAAGTGCATCAGACGATTCCATTACAGCTGATAGAAAGCAGGTTTCTCCCTCGAAGATCTGGGGGAAAAAATTTATCCATACAAAGAGAGGTTACAGGTGGCACTCTGTATGTGTGCGTGTGTGTGTTTGTATATACTATATACGTATGTATATGTATATGCATGCATGTATGTATGTATGAAATCAAAAGACACAAAATCCTGCTCTTTTATGTGGATTTACTGAGAAAGGTGTCGCCATTTAGCTCAACAGTTTACCTTATCATGGGAACAAATTGAAAAGTTTAAAGTTAAAAAAAAATTGTAGTAGTCAAGCAGTTTACTACTATTCATTAGAAAACTGTTACAATAACGAGACTTGTGGAAGTCATGATGTTTATACATTCAGTTTTCAAGAGTGTTATGATTCACGATGAGGTGCTGAAAGCAATTCAGATACTCTTATTGATGTTTTTTTTAATAGTTTATTTGCATCAGCTTCCGAAGATATTATAATTAACAATGAGGATTCTATAGCAAGATCGAACCCCTTATCAATTACTCTTCGATTAAGTTTAAGCACTATAATAAAAAGATTATAATACATTCTGCAAGATATTTGAGGGCAGCTACTCTTGCTAATTATACTAAATTCTACAGTAATGAAAGAAGGGAAATTTAATTCTAAAATTTAGAACATTTCAGCCACTATCACAAATAGAATTGAAGAGGTTCATTTGTTCAATTTAAGGACAATATCAAGAGGAGAAATCAAAATTTAAAGAAAGTCAGAAAGTATTGTTACCAGTATGCAGCCACTGAAAGAAAAACTGAGCGACATCAGAATGTTGGTTGCAATTGTCTCCATGAACATGGGTATAGATTGTGTTGATGTCATGTTGTCCCCCAGGTTTCTAGTTTCATACCAAACCAGACAGACAGCAGCACTGAAGATAAGGTCCAAAGGAAGATTAATCTCTCGTTCTACAACTTGTACACCATCTTTTTCTAGCGCCAGGATCTTTTGGTACGAACTTCTTCGAGATATCAGCATTTTTTTCTCAAAATTTTGAGTATTGACAACAATGACTACATCAGGCGAGGAAGGTTCGTTTGGATTTATTTTCTTCGAGTTTAGTGAATGTGACGTGCTCATAGAACAGTTAGTTTCATGGGAGGCATCTGTATGATTTTCAGCTTCAGAAGAAAAGCAGCTACTCTTCCCGATAGGAACAAAACTTAGTAATTCTTCAATCTGTTCCTTGTTCAAGATCCCTTGCAGACTTGGAATAGATTGTGAGGCTCCTTCCTGATAATTAAAAGGGGAAGGAAGCGATATCTAAGAAAAGTGGTGAAGATTAAACAGCTTAAAAATACCTAATACGTTTAACCTTGCATATTGAGTATTAATGATAATGCACAATGTAACAAGGACTAATCAAACAAAGTAAATTGAAGTTAAATGATTACAATTTTCTAAATGTCACCAACAGAGCCAATCATTGTAGTTAGTTCGCTAGGAAGACCAGTTGTGGTCTTTCAGAATGAGAAAACAATTAACTGACAAATTTATCTGTATATCTCAGTTGCAACTTGTAGACCAATGATATGAACACAAAAGTGAACATCAGCACTTTCAATGTCACATTATTTTTTCTGCTCTTTATTGTTCACTTTTAATGTAGTTTATCTGAAAAAGGATAAGCTTGATGTTTTATCACATTGAGAACTGTCTAATTTAAACAGGCATTACTACAACTCAAGCAGTATGTTGAACTGTAAGCAATAATCATGCTGGCTTTCACAGCCTGGACCGTGAAAACTGAAAAGATATTCACAAGCATATTCTTCATGAATTGCTGACGCAGCATTTGATTCTAATGACATACATGCACGCACTTGCGCATACACTTGTTTCAGAGTTTAAAGAAACATTGATTCATTTGTCCGAACTTATGTCTAACGTTTTAAACCGATTAGAAGACCTGGTAGAAACTCTTAATGAATATATTATGGAGATCTATAATAATTATATTAGGAATAATATATTAGGAATATGTGGCTGAGAGATATTAGGGATGTAATTGAGAGAATAAAGGAATATGCTAAGAATATGTTTAGCATATTCCCAATAATATGTAACACATGTTTATTTGCTCTTAGTATAAATATAAGAGATCAATAGAGTTCTAGATAGAGTCTCTGGTTTCCCACAGAATTAATATCAACAGAAACTAAAGCATACTATGTATAGGAGTACTCCTAGATTAACTACAAAGCGGCATAACCAAACATTACAGCTACTTTAAGGCCGCTTTTAATTAACCCAGGAACAACTGTGCAACAAGAAATAGAATTACCACAGCCAGATGATGGGGCACATCAAAACCTTCCCAAAATGCTTTGTGCATATTATTATTTTCCACACGAACTTTGAGGAAGTGAATTTGAGGAGCATGTAACTTCGGAGTGATAGAGGATACTGTAGATGATATATATGAACCTCCATATTCCAAGATAATGCTGAACTTGTCAAAGGGGAATGAATCCGTGACATTCCTAGTGAACATAAAATTAAGACATGTAAGCATTTATTCATGAAAGTGTAGCTCACTGCACAATTTAAGCTTTTGCAAAATATATATCAAGTAGAATGAAAATAAAAGAGTATGAAAGGATAGCAAGCATGAATAAGATACAATCTTATTAATTACAACTTTTACATCTTTGAAACAGACCATCAAGAGAGGTACAGTCCTGCATAAAATATTATATCATATATCATGGGTTAGGCTGCATACATTATTATGTGAAATTCTCTGATAAGATCATGCATGAGTTCTTTCATGAGTAAATTAAAAAAAAATGAAAAAGATATAATAAAAAAGCACACTACAGAATCTAATTATGAATTGATTATACTATAATAACAAGGAACTAGAAAGGAAACTTGCATGTATTTTTTCGTCAGAGTTAACAACATTACCTCAAATAAGGAATCATTCTCTTTGAGTAAATTATGTATAGTATACAGTAGTTGATTGGTATGTAAATTCCCTGGGATTAACATGTCTCATACTTTTGTGGTGTAATTTGATCTCTATAACACAAAGAGAACTACATTATACTGAAGCATACTTAGAAATATATAATATTTTGGTAGTAATTAATATTTCCCATTTCCACAAATACCTATACTAGTATTAAAATGATGTGGACTTAATCCACAGTCATCTTACTAGATGCAAAAAGGACGTCACATGAAACTAATGTTATTATAAGTGAGGGGTTTCTGCATATATACCCCTCATATCTACCATATATTCAAATTTAACCCCCAAATCTTGGTATTTGCAAAATTACACTCCAATTCTCTCACATTGAATTTTTCTACTTCTCTCACTTTACAGTATTAGTTTTAAACAGAAAATATTGCAAACCTGTAGGAAGTTATTCAAAAAATTTGTCATTCCCCTATTTAGCAACCAATATTGCTAAGTTGGAGGCAGGAAAACACAATGTAAGAGATGTGGAGGGTAATTTTGCAAATACCAATATTTGGAGTGTAAACTTGCAAATATAGAAGATTTGAGGGGTATATTTGTAAAACACCTTTTATGCAAAAGATAAAGAAGACACTTTCTACTCGTACCAATGCATCGTTTAGTAGTTTTTCCCTTGTATTTAAGGTTGTCTTCACTTAAATATTTAGCCCGCACACCTTCTAATGCTCAACTTCAAGATATATATCGACCAAAGTGTTCAAAATAACTTTGAATGCAACAAGTTTGAAATATACATAATAGGAAAAATGAAGAGTTTATTAAACAATGGAAATGCTCTTGTGACCTTAGCAGAAAAAGTGCAGTTCTCATATTTCAAGTTTGGGAACTACTTTTGCAAAGAAACTGGTTTCTTGCAGGAAAAAACACAAACTTTATAAGACCTGAGTATAGCCTTCGGAACTTACTCATGAGAAATCAGCAGGCAGTCTGAGTGTAGTAGAACTTCCAGTATGTGGTTCGTAAATCTGATGAAGTCCGCTGTATCAAGTTGATTAGTGAATTTATAGGCCTGGGTTACTTCATGAAGCTTTACCTTCATACTAGTTAGCTTCTGATTCAGTGGTAACCAAAACAATCTTTCAGCTATGATGAGTATTTTACTATTTTGAGATGTGTTGAATTTTAGAATGCCTTCAATGAGAGAGAGTGATGAATGTGATTCAATTAGATGTCTGTCAGATTTCTGGCGTGCATCTTCAATCAAGGACTCCAAGGGTCTCAATTTTATTGCCAAACTGTCTGTCTTGTCAAATTGCTTATGTATAAGTGAGCACTGTGTCAAATTGCTTATGTATAAGTGAGCAGTGTGAATGCCAAACAAACACAGCAAAAATGCCAACTGCTTAATTGCATACAATGCAAGTAATCCTGTGAAAGTTTCATCTGTACAGCCTGAAGTGAATTGCCTCCTACTTTTCTCAGTAATAAGCTCCAGCAGCTTTTCCTTTGATAAACCTATAAATTTAAGATCGTCCTCTGGTGCCAAAAGAGTATTGCTTCTTAAATCTGTTCCATAGTTCAAAATGGCTAGATAGCTCTTCTGGATATTATCAATAAGGCCTAAAGTGTGATCTGATAGGCTGACATGATGAACCTCGATATTCCACTGCTCCAAATGTACATCAGGAAGAGAAGATGGTTGAGATGGTTCTTTCAAGGAAGCAGTAGGAGGGGTAACTTTACTGCTGCCTTCCTTCAGTGGTTCACCACTACAGCTCTTCCTAAAAGTTCCTCTTCGTGCACCCAAGAAAAAGTCGAGATCATTTGATTGTGACATAGACTCAAATAAAGAAGCAACCTTTTCTGAATTTCCTGTTGGCAACTTCTTTACATTCAGGTTATTGCTAACACCATCTTTTAGAACCTGACTGTCAGCAGCTTTCACATATGCATCATTAGCCTGAGGGATAATCCCATGAAGCTCGGTAATTATTTCCTTGCGTTCGAAGATTCTTAACCTTTCTGGAGAACCATCTATAAAGTCTAAGTTGAAATAGAACACATCTTCATTACTGGACTGCAGCTCAGAGTCCATAGAAGAGAAACTTACCTCGTACAGCATGCATATGTAAGTTGAACAGATCTCACGAGTGCATATCCCTTCAGTCACTGGATGCCAGTCTAAGTATAAGTCATCTGTTGCAGTGGATGCATGTGGCTTTAGAACATGTAAAACATTCTCAAAAATTCTGCTGTGCAATTTCATATCTTTATTATCAGAAAAAAGAGGGACTGGCAATGACTTGAATGTATCATCTACCAATGCTAGCTCAGAACTGACCATCGCTTCATAAAAGCTCCCAACAGAATCTATGTCATATTTGAACATTTCGTCAGAGATATCAGGCAACTCAGTTGCTTGTGAACCACTAAACTGGTCGAACATATGAACAGAAGAAATATCAAGGATCTGTACTTCCTGAAAAAAAACTGGGCATGGCATATAAGAGCAATCTCCAGCCAATGCCATAGGATAGATAGTTGAATTCTCCTCGAGAACCATATTACCATTGAGGTCTATGACGTTCATCTCTAAAACAGAGTTGAGGCATACAGGTTCATCCTTGAGGCATGTTTCAGATGAAGCATTCATTGAAAAATGATCCAAAATATCGATATTACTGGATTCCAGAAATTCCTTTACATTAATTACCAATTCATCACTATGTACACCATGCTGGGGTTCTATATGAGGAAGTAGAGCACTGAAAGCCTCTTCAATGGATGGAGCTCTTTCATGACCATAACCTATCTCATTGACTTCAAATTCAGGCACAATGACAGTGCGTTTTGGTGTTTTTTTAGGTGCTGCACTGTCATCATCCATAGCCAAGCAATCAGGAATAACTTCCACTGAACATATTGATTTTACAACCTCGTAAGGATATGTGACAGTCACTCCCATATCAATCTCAACAGTGTCCTATAAAGAAAAGGATTATGACGTAAAAGAACATACAACAAAGGCTTAAAAAGAGGTGAATCTACTGTTAATCGAGCTATTCACAAATAATAATGATGGTGATGATGATGATGATAAACATGAGAACTATCACTGTCGTGTAGTTTAAGCAAACTATTCTTTTCAATATATTTTAGCTCAAAAGATTCATACAAGTAACTGTGGTCACATTATCAGCAACATTAGACTGACATTCAATTAGAGACAATACAATATTTGTTAATAAGGCAGTCCACTTCCACCCTCTCGCCAGCAATGACCCAACCACTCCATTAGCCACATTGGTTCAATGCACTTTAGACTACCAGCTAAACTACAAATTAACCAAATTCAAGCCTAAATTTTCCCAAAGAGAATTTATATAGATATTTCTCCTCAATTTAAACCAAGAAAATAACAAGGTTTTAAAAATGTCAAGTATCTAATTAATTTCAGTGAGGTAAAAAATAAAAATAAAAATAAAACTTACCGAAGGTATCTTAACACAAGGAACTTCGAAGCGTATTATCTAGTGTGTGTTCACTGTGTGAAAAGAACACAAATCAACTAAATGCAAACTCCTCTTACCAATGGAAACTCCTCTATTATTTCAAACTGGAGTTTCTTCATCCGTTCGTTCCCCTATCACCAAAATAAAAGTATTAAAAAAGGAAATCTCGACAAAAATATTCTAACAAAGTAAAACTAAAGCCTGAAATTTACCTCTGGAACTCTGATTTCGGGTGAATAGGATCTAAACTCCTCTTCATGAAGAGACTCCAGCAGTCTCTGCTGCAGATTAACACCAGATTAAAATATATACCAAACGAACTTGTGAAACCACAAATTAACTACCTCTCTAGCTCCAGATCCGATATTCCCCAAATTTTCCTCCTGTTCAAACGATGAAACGAAAAAAAAACCAGTGAAAAATCACACTACTGATCACAAAATACCACAAAAACGCACAGAAATCGACGACTCACCTCCGTCGCGATCTCATGGGGGATGAACTGAGGAACGACATCTGCTAGGAAATCGGAGAGTGCGGAGGCGAAAGGGAACCGATCGACCTCCGAACTGAGGTCGGATTTGAGATCGGAGAAGGGAAAATCGAGCTCGAGCTGAGGATCGGGAGGCGAGAGAGGAGGAGGAGGAGAGAGACTGAGGATATTGAAGCTTTTTAGGGTTTCGAATTGGGATTGAGCGGAGAAGAAGTAGTCGGTGTTAAGGAATCGAGATCGCATCGTTCGTCGATTTCGGAAGGAGAGAAAGCGGCAGAGAGAGTGAGGATTTGAAGTGGGGAGACGGAGAGGCGTTTTTATATTTCCTTAGGGCTAATGCTAACTTGCGCTTGGGAAAGGAGAACGTGCAGGCTTGGTGGGAGTGTTTTGGCGGGAGATGTATTTTTTTTTCCCAATAAATAATGTATAAACGAAATTAGTAATAGCGATGATTTTACTAACACCTAAAGAACACTCCATAAAAGAGGTCTACTATAGTATAAAGTTATAATCCCCAATGACTAGTATTACTAATTTTGTTTATTAGAGTAACTCTGATTTCAAATTCTATTTAGATATAAATTTAAAATAGAACAAATACTTGTGATTGTGTCCGAATTTAGCCTATAAAAATGGCGTTCAATCCTTAAAACTACATTAGAATATAAAACTTTAACTCTCAAAGTTCAACATGACTTTATAGTTTTGATACATTAATTGGAGGAAACTTAACAAGGTCTAAATTGATCTTTGCATCAAATGACGTGGTATTGCTAGCTTGATACTAATTCATGAATTTTTGGGTATTTTTATCATTGTTAACGATTGTAGAGTATTAGTCGGATTACCAAAAATTGAAGGCCGTAAAATACCTTTCTGAGTTGTACGAGAAATTATAGCAAACTAAGAACCAGCTACACTAATTCTACGTGGTTTTGTCGCTCAGAATTGGTCTCAGATAATTCTTTGTTAACGAGGAGTTGAAATCTCCAGCCTTTAGCTATTTGAAATATTTTTTATCAAGAAAAATTGCAGCAATTCGAAATGAGTAGCAGAAGCTTCACGGTTTCGGAGATAGGAGAACAATTTTCGGGCGTATTAATTTCTAGATATGACGTTTTCCACCACAGAATGTCAAAGGATCTTCCATTGATCATCAGATAATTTTGCAAAATTTAATTGTTATCAACATTCTTGCTCAATTGTGTAGTCACCAATCATAATGGAGTAGACTCGTTCTCATTATGAGAATCTTAGCCAATGCCTATAAGTGACTAACTTCAAGCATAATTGTATCCATCCTCTTCATCAAATAGTTGGTAGCTTCGTGAATGTCAATGGCTCTGTTATTCAGATTCTGGGTTTTTTTTTTTCCCTCTGCTCTTACTCTTTTATTCTTCATGCAAAATGCTCTTGCTGGCTCGCGATACAGTACGTATTTTGATCTAAATTTGGATCTTTTCCAGTGTCAAAAAGCAATTCGATCAGGTTTATATAAGTGTTTTGCGTCCACGAAAAATGAATATGGGTGTGTTTGAATATCATACTACTTATAAGTGATGTGAACTTGTGCTTCTTTTTCCTAATACATGCAATTGATACTAGATATTATGCTAATAAGAAAGTCATTCGCAATCACTACAGGCGGCCTAGATTGGTAGGATGTATAAATATGGCTCCCATTGTCTTGGGTTTGATTCTCAGAGTTTCATTATTAAACAAAACGAAAGAAAGAAAGAAAAAATTTGGCAACCCCACATATCCGATAAGTAAGGCTCCGTTTGGATACAATTGTGTTTTACTTATTTTCATGGTGTTTTTGCCAAAAACAAAACACCATGCGTTTGGAAACCATGATATTTTTGAGCTAAATCATCCTCAAACCAAAAACACAACACTTATTTCAAAACACCTTTTAGGTGTTTTAAGTTTGGTGTTTTGATTTTGAGTTTGAGAAGGTGTTAATATAATATCTAGTATAATATATTAAATATAATTAATATAGAATTATTATCAACATACTTATTATATTATACTATACTATGCTATATTATATTTAATTTAATATACTAGTAATATTTATTAAATAATATAAAAATATAATAAATAAATATCTTATATAATAATATAATAACATATTAAATACCAATATTTAATATGTTAATAATCTATTATATAATAAATAAATAATAATAAAATATAAATAAACTAATAAAAAGTTATTGATAATAAATAATAATATAATAATAATATAATAACATACCTATACAATAGTATAATTGCTATAATATTATTAACTTTTTAATAAATAAATTGTAATAAATTAATAATTAAAAAATATTATACAATAGTAACATATTTATTAATAACATAACAATAAAATAATATTATTATAATAACATATCGTATAGTAAATGTAATATAATATATAAAATATTAATATATTATGTAATAAATAATATAATTTATTATAAAGTAAAATAATTTTTAATCATAAAATAATTTATTGCTAACAAATGTTAATGTAAAAATAATATATTCATAATATAATAATATTTATTTATATCATAAATACTAATATATTATTAAATTACTATTAATAAACTCTAACATATTAAAACTATAATATATTATGTAAATATTAAATATTTATAATATATTGATTTATTAATAACATACTAGTATTCTAATAATATTGACATTATTAATAATATTATATTATATGAATAATAGTATAATATTTTATTATATTAATAATAGTATAATATTATATTAATAATTAAATAACATTATTATAAAAATATTAATATAATATACAATTATAAAAATTTGATATACCAAACTAATTAAATATATAATTATTTGAAAATAATATGTAACAAGTACAATATAATAATAATTATAGTATAATATAACTCATTAAAGTACAATATACTGTTATAATACATTATACAATATTATATTGCATTGTATTTAATACTTGTAATACTATAATAATGTAAACTAAATATTATAACATTTTATTTACAATATATTTTATTATAATTAATATAAATGTAAAAATAATATATTCATAATATAATAATATTTATTTATATCATAAATACTAATATATTATTAAATTACTATTAATAAACTCTAACATATTAAAAACAATATTATATTATATAATACTAAAATATTTATAATATATTAATTTATTAATAACATATTAGTAATAACATAATAATAATATTATTAATAATATTATATTATATGAATAATAATGTTATATTATANTATATTTTATTATAATTAATATATAATATATTAATAATATGTTTAATACTAATCTATCTACCCTTTAAAAGAGCCAGTTCCTGAAAAACTTTCCCATCCCCAAAATAACATTCAACCATCTTAAATATACCCAATTTCTCCCTTAAAATCGTTTCATAAAATTCGTCATCAGCATCGGGAATTTCCACCTCCGTTACGCATTCCTCTCCGCCGAAGCCGAAGAGATCATTGATTACCCTTCTCCGAAGAAGCCGAAGCGTTACAGGAATTTGCAAAGATGAGGATTATTCATCGGTTGCTCTTCTCCGTCGAAGCCGAAGTGTTATAGAAATTTGCACAGATTACTATTTCTTCAGAATTTCCGTATTCATCGCCAAATATTTCTGCATTTGGGCATTCAGTAAGGTATTTCTTCTTCGTCTTCACTCCTTTATACAAAACCCTAACTCCTTCTTCGTCTTCACTCCTTTATACAAAACCCTAACTCTACCTATCCCCTTTTAGTTCTTCAGTCCTCTCATTTTCTTCTAAATTTGCTTTATACAAAACCCTAACTCTACCTATCCCCTTTTAGTTCTTCAGTCCTCTCATTTTCTTCTAAATTTGCCCTAATTTTTGATTTCCTACAGTTTCAAGCAACAAGGGTTTAAATATTCCAACAGCAGCTGGATCGACATTAGAAAGTAAGTTGAGTTGAGTTGAGTTCTTTAAATTTTCAGTTTTTGATTTTGTTTGTGATTTCTTTCCTAAATTAGTTCTGTTTTCAAGTTATAACTTATTTTGTATCTTATATGTGTTTAGGAATTGATTTCTTGATATGGTGTTGGATATGAAAGCTCTGAAGGTGGGGAAATATGGGGTTATTTTTTTTAATTTTGAGGTTTTGAGTGGTCAATTGCTGAGTCTGGTAGAGAATTCTCATGGTAGAAGTAGCTGCTAAAGGGGCAATTCCATTTTGAGGTTTGAGCGGGAAATGAGAGAGATTAGCCCATGAGATGGTAAGTAATCACAGACTGAGTTCTGAAAAGATGGTTTAAGTGTGTTGATATAGACATCTGTATTTACAGTTCATTCTCTTCTCGATGTTGTTACTTTTGGATGATGTCAGTATTGTAGGAGGTATGCTTTTATTAATAATCAGATGTAGTGTATTTAGGGAGACTCATGTTTCATGACTCCCTTTTAGCGACTATCTGTTGGAGATGCAGTAGGGCATTCAGCATATGATGATAGAGATAAATACACTTAGTTAGATTGAAAAATGATGGGTAGGATAATCATGCATTTATTGTTATTGGACATCTTTAGTACTTTTAATGGGAAAGTCTTTAGCTTTACCAGACACTCATATAAGTAGTCAGTGATTATAAAGGATGGTTTGCGAGGTGGTAATAGATGTTGTTGCTACCCAAACCCATGCATTTATTATTATACTTGAGATGTTGATGTCGTTTCCGTAGTGCATAAGATATGAACGCCGGAGCATAGTCAATTATGATGATGGAAGTTGGGAGCTTATTGATTTACCTCAGTGATAATGGAAGTGCCAGAGCTTGGCTACGAGGAAGCTGGACTCACCACTTTAGAACTTGGTATGATCTGTGTGCATGTTTAAGTTGGATTATTGCATAATACACAATGTGTGGAGATGCTGAATTCTTATAATTCACTTTATCTACCTACCTGCATAGTATCATAGTTTATCTGCTTCAAATAGATTAGGGGCCCTCGGTGTAACAATTACAGAAGGTTAGGTCTAAACATGTAGGCTGCCTTAAATGAAGGCATCTGAAAAACATTTTCTTATGTATTTGGATGTATGCTAATCTTGCAATCATTATGGAAGTGTAATGCATCACATGCTTCGTATGCTGCTTTGACTGGTTGATATTTCAGAGGAAGGAAGGTTCATTGGGAATTAAGGATTCTATCAGAACACCCTATAGAAATAAGTGATCTATACCAACCATGGATGGTTAAAGTGTTAGTTTGGGAATTACAACTCCTCTATCTATGGTGTAGAT